TTTTTTTACACTTCCATTTATTAAACGCCTTTAACTTAACCTAATACATTTAGGTCACTTCCCAAAGAGTGCAGGGATTTCCTTGATCATTTTCTCCCATGAACAATTTCCTGAATAGGAAGGGCCACAAGTTTTCATCTACTTCCCAGCATCTGGCATAGGTCCTTTCATTTAAGTAACCATGGAAGAAACTAAAAAGTACACTGCAGTATTGTCAGTTATTTCTCTTCATGGTCCTAGAGGAAAGGGACAAATTATAGCAACTAACTTCTTAATGTTTTAAATCAATAAAATCAATGTATCTTTCTACAGGCTATTGAACCTACTGAAATACTCACATATAAACTGCTGAATTATGTCACTCTAGACAATCTGAGACTGAGCAATATGGCAATTTCAAACAATGAAACTGCATAGGCGTTAAAGACAATGAAAAACTGTAGCCTGAAAGTATTCCTACTGATTTTGTTACACTCTTTCCTACTAATTAGAAATTATTCTGTTAATATTTGGTTAAACTGATGCTATTGTTTTCATATATGAATCAGAGTGAATTTTGGTGGCTTCATAGACATACACAACCCCAAAGGCTGGACAGTAACATCTACTGGAGTAAGTACTGTCTTACTATTGAGAAGAGAAATTCTAATTACGGAGGTTGCTTGGCAGTGTTGGAATCAGCTCAAGGGCATAACTGATAACCTGAAAGCACTTAACCCCGGCTTGTTGGTCAGATCTAAGGACTAACCCACAGAGACAGAGGACACACTATGGCTCTTTTATCAAGGTAGCTCTTCTCTGGACATTGCTGCATGAGCACTGGGGAATTCTACCCTGTAACCCATCACTTCCTTTCTTATAATTTTTTTTCTTTCTAGGCTGATCATTCTCTTTTTACTACAACTTTGATTTCTTTAGCTATGCCAATGCCATCAGTGTACAATCAATCTTCTTTGGCCCAATAAAGTATTTTGTCTTTTTAAGAAGATTTTGACAGTTACTTGATCTTACTGTCTGCATAGTTCTACAGTATTTCCCACTGAATTACTCACAAAGGTGGCTTTGAGAATTAATTAAATCCAAGTTCTGTTTAAAATGCCAGATTGCATAAGGGCTGGCCAATTAGCTCAGTGGATTAAAGGTGCAGGGGCCTGAGATTTGATCCTGAGGCACGCTGAGATGGCCAATGAGAATGGGCATGGTGGCATGCGCCTGTAATCCCAGCACTTGCGCGGCTGTAAACAGGCGGATCACTACAAATCTGATCTAAAGACCCTCAACACCCTGTAGGGCCTTTCGTAAAACACAAAGAAAAAAAAAAGGCCAGATTGTGTGTGTGTATATATATCTATATCTGTCTCTATCTGTATCTATATCTATATATCTATATATCAAGGTACTTATTGTTTCTCTCAGATCATGACTTTAATAGTACTCCAAATATTTTTTCATTCTCCCAATAAAGAAATTTTAAAATAAATGATACTAAAAACAGGGATTAAAAATACCATTCAAAATAAAATTACCTACAAAAAAAAATCTCAGGAGTTGACAGAGGAAAAGGTTAAGACACGTACCCATAAAACTGCTATCTGAAGCTTCCTGCCAAGCTTGCCCATTAATGCTGACATTTTCTTGCATAGCTGATTCGAAAGTCTGCAACGAATTCAGTCCAGTCATAAAACAGCTTTAAAATACAGAATTCAAAGGTTTTCACAATAATTTCAAATTTGTGAGGGATACAAAGAAGCACCATGACTAGCCTAGTAGTATATTTATTTCTTTTAATGAAATTTTCATTTCTGTCATTGATTCTACCTACATTTTGGCTGATAGCTATTATATTGCCCATGAGTAAGTCTGATGTACAAAAAATGAATTTCATAAATAAAACCTAACACATTTGGGTTCAGTTGAATCTCAGAAGCACAAATGGTTTATATACTACTGAAGGACTGTCAGCTTTTAGAGATAAAATATACAAGCTTAATATAAAGTAAAATGTATTTCTATTTTATAAGGACTATTTCTTTACAATAAAAATATACACAGATGCAATGACCTGAAAGTTGCTTTAAAATAGGAAGAGCAACAATTTTTTTTTACAATGTATTTGGCTGTTATAGGGTCTACCATTACACCCCAGACTCTGTAGCCAGCTCCGCCCATCCTAGGGGCAGGGCTGGTGGGGCATGTGGTGCTGGGATCCAACCGCTGTACCTGCACTTGTCTAAACAGGTGCTTTAGTCCACTGAGTTATCTCGCAGGCCCAACAAATTTTGACAACTAGTAGATTTGATTATGGACATATAGATTAGTTCATATCCATTGTACTAATCTATTTTTGTAAAGTCGAAAATGTTCATAATATATTACAAAATAAAGAATTAAAGGAATTTGGTAATGTCATATTCAAATGTGGCTTTCCTATTATCCAACAATTTTACTTGTAGGAATATAACCTATTAAAAAAAAAAAAAACAGGAAAACAATGGACAGTGTGGAATGAAGCACATTTAAGCAATTTCAAATAACAAAAAATGGAGGAAAAAATAAAATTCCAATAAAAAAATTCATACCATGTGGTATTTACAAAAAATAAATAGGGCTGATGATATAGCTCAGCAGACTAAGTATTTGCTTAGGTAAGCACAGGGGCCAGGGTTTGATCCCTGGCACCACACACTGCACTGGCCCCGCAAGGGGCATGCTGAGCCAGTGATGGAGACCGGGCGTGCCGGTACACACTTGTAATCCCAGCACTAGGGAGGCAGAAATCAGGAGGATCACTACAAGTCCGAGTTATGTAGTGAGACCCCCCCCACACACACACAAAAAAAAAACCCTAAAAAAAAGAACAGATAACTATGCAAAACACTAACAAGTCATAGTCAAAGACATCACTTTTTTAGAAAATACAAGTCAATAGCAATCAGCATGACACTATTAATATAAATAAATAAACTGAGAGTCATAAAAAGTTCACTTTTTGGTAATGAATTGCCAAAATAGTAGCTTATCTCCAGGAAGCTTGGAAGATAAAGGGAAATCCAAAGATGACTTTTGTTTCATACCATCACTTAAACTTTTAAAATGAATATTTATTTTGTTCCATTTGCATTATTAAAAATAAGCATAAGTTAAATGATAGAATGACTTAAAGTACACATATTCTATATCTTATATATTTTACACTTAAGATTTTTACATAAAATAAATATGTACTGTATGTATGCAACTCCATTATCTAACAATTCAAATTGTCTTGTAATATTTATTGTACAGGGCCAGCAAGATAGCGCAGCGGACTAAGCACCGGACTAAGCACCTGCTTTGGCAAGCACAGGGACCACAGTTTGACCCCCAGTGCCACATGCTGTACTGGCCCCACCCCCGGGCATACTGAGCTGGCGACTGAGTCCTGGTGTGGTGGTGCACACCTGTAATCCCAGCCCCTGGGATGCTGAAAACAGGAGGATCACTACGAGTCTGAGCTGCATAGTGAGACCCTGTACCAAATACAGAAAATGAAAAAAAAAAATTATTGTACAATCCTACCAATACTATTTTAAAGACACATGCTACTATATTATGTAGTTTTTGAGATACATCAACATAAAGCTTTTGCTTTTTATCTATTCTTATTTAACATAGAACACAAGTGAACTCTCTTGGTATTTAGTCTGTCTTTAAATCTTACCTTGATTCAGTTTAGGGACTCATTAAATAAGACACAATGGTTGAACCATGTTGTTTTTCTGTAATTGTATGTCTTACATACCAGCACCCAATCTCCAACAAGTCCTAACTGTGCAGCCTTCTCCCACAAAAAACCTATTAAAAACATCCTGACGCATCTGTATACATTTGCTTTGCTTGTAAGGAGGAAATAACATGTCACTGTATTAAAAACTGGAATACAAAATTACAGTAAGAGGCGTGTCTTTTCACTCTTTCACTCAATCTCTATTTTGCACTTTTCGCACTGGTCTGTCCTTCATTCACAACTGAGCTGCACTGTAAGCTTTTAAACTTTACCCCTAGGTATAGACACACTGCGTGCATTCTTTTTAGTCCCTCAATTTCTTGTCTTTCCCTCAAAACTATCATCTTCAAACTATTCGAAAAAGGATGAAATGTCTTATAAAGGAACCCAGGTGTGATCCTAGTGAAGTTTATAACTAAGACAGTCTTTTCATCTACTTTAGATTCTTAAGGAAAATACTTTCACTCTACTTACAAGACACTCTAATTAAAACTGGCCAAGGGAAAGACCAAAAGCTGCCTGCCACCCTTTTCCAGGACCCATCAAGGCTGCACGCCCACTGCTGTCCCGCACAGCACGCACCGGCCACTCGGGGAAGGCTCAAAATACAGCTTCATCGCCAAGGCGACGCGCCATCGGTGTCACCCGACACCGGGCTTGAAATGCTTAGTACGAAAAGGAATGTGAACACAGCTCGTTTCTACATTATCCTACATGTTAAAACGGTACGTTAGGTGCAGCGTTACAGAAAATACTTTATTTCAGCTAACTTCACCCTCTCGCTCGCAACGTCGCGCGCGTAGCTCGTCCTGAGCCGCCGCCCCGCCGCCGCGGTCTAAGGAAACGGGGCTCCCGGGCGACGCTCCCCCGCTCGCGGGTCTTGAGCTGCTTCCCCAACAGCCGGGGACACCGCTAACTCTGCCAAGGGTGACAATAAAGAGGCGGCTAGCTCGGCGCGTACCCACTGCATATCTCGCAGCGCGGCCTCCCGAACCTCCTCAGGCAGCGCGTCCCCGAGGTCTCGCACGAAGCGGCCGCACCGTCCTAGAACTTCCGTCACGGCCCGCTTCGAGGTACAGCGCACTCGGAAGTCCTCTCGGGGAGCAGTGGGGACCGGGGCCTGGCTGCTTGTCCCCGTTGCTATCGTTTCGTCCAGCCGAGCGGCGTCGACCGCCGGACCCAAAGCTCCCGCCATTTTTCCAGTTTAGACTGAAGGCGGGGACGCTGGGAGCGGAAGGGCGTGTCCTCTGGGGTGCTGCGAGCGAGCTTCCGGCGGGAAACGCGCGGCGTCGCCGCAGCAGCGTTCCGGGGTCCATGGGGGCGCCGGGCGTGGGGCTGGTGGACTGCCACTGCCACCTCTCGGATCCGGACTTTGATGGCGTAAGTAAAGGCGAGGCGGAGATTAAGAGGGTGAGGAGATCCCCGTCTTTTCCCTACAGAGTTTCTTTTCTCTCTTTTACCACGAAGCCCCACATTCCCCTCAGACCCTTGTCTGTGACGCTTTGCGACCTGCCTGATTTCTTATTTAATCTCAACCACGTCGAGTTTTTCTTTCTGTTCCAGTAAAGTGTCCGTCTCCACAGAGCTCATGGTGGGCGTTCCTGGTTCCTGGAGTCCTTTCCTCGTCCCCTCTGGGGTCGGGCTGTTTGTCGTCGGGCAGTGGTCCCCCACTGACATCGCGCGCCCCAGGTCTGAAGGGGAGAGAAGCGAGCAGGAGGACCGCGCGCGCACACACACACACACACACACACACACACAATCAGATGCACAATGTTTCTGATTGGAAACGAAATACTAGTAATAGCGTAGGAAAAGTAAATGTATAGTTTCAGAGGAAAACTCCTAAGAGGCCACATTTAAGGCTGGGAAGACAGAGGCAGCCAAGCAAGGGGGTGAATTACCGCAGTGTGGAGAGCGGGCGGGCTGCAGCCCCAGACTGGATAGAATTTGGCCCATTCCTGTTACCATAAGGCTGGCGGGTCCGGATGAGCCAGGAGGAGAGACGAAACCAGACCAGAGAAGTTTTCAGGAGATCCGGGAGGGGACATGGGTCAGTAATGCATTTGGATTGCATACAAAACAGTTTTGGTCCAATAAAGATGACGATTTTGAGAGACAAGATCGGATAGCCACATGAAGACTGTTTTGCTGCTCTGTGGCCTATAAATGGAAGGGGATGAAAGCTACACCAGTTATGTATAGACAAAGAAGGGTGGTGTGTAGTATTCTGGCGGTGGAGCAGGGGAGTCTGAGAGAAGTCTGACTACAGATATAGTCAAGATACATCTTAAAGACAGAGTCCATGGCATCCTGAGGGATGACATGTTAGAGACGGGATCCGTTGTACATACAGTTGAGTTGGATGTGGAGGGCGAGAAAGAGGGAAGAATTGAGGATAGCTCACAATTTTAGCTTGGGTTGTGGAAAAGATGGTAGTGCTGTTTACTGAGATAACTGAAGAGCGAGGTTTGGGAAGGAAGGAGATGGACAGAAGGAATAGGTTGTGGGGACAGATCTGTGTTTGGGACAGACTGGAAAGCCTGATCCCATGCACGTGGAGAGGTCGTATAGCCATTTTTAAATGTGAAGCATGCTTTCAGGAGAGTTATAAGTTGGAGATGAAAGTTGGAGGTTCAACATAATGATACTTAGAACAACAAGGACAGAGGAGATACTTAAGGCTAGTGCAGAGAAAAGAGAAGAGGGTCTTGAGACCAGAAAAGGGAGGGAAAGCCAGAAGAGACAAGAAAGGAGTCACCAGAGAGAGAGAGAGAGAGAGAGAGAGAGAGAGAGAGAGAGAGAATGGTGTTGTAGAAGCCGAGAATGGAAAGCAAGGGTGGGCATATGAGGGGTTCCTGATGTTGCTGAGGGGTAATGTGAGAGAACAGAGAAATGTCTTTTGTATTTGACAATAGACATTTCTATTTTAGTGCAGTGGGAGAAGAGGCCAGCCCATCCTGAAAATAAGAGGAAATAGGAGATGGGTTATGGAAAAGATGGTAGTGCTGTTTTGCTTTCCACCACCCCATTCCTTGCTCACCTTGTCATTCTTGGTACCTCAGCCACATTGATACACATACCCAAAGGTCAGTTACTTACTCATCTAAAATAATGGCATTTACTTTTGCTTACTTTAGGATCTGGATGATGTGTTGGAGAAAGCCAAGAAGGTGAGTCAGTGCCTATGATGGCCCCCTTTGTGTTTTTGTTTTTCCTACTAACATTGAGTTGTCTTAGCTTGGACTACTGTGTTGTTCAGATATACTATGTTTAGATATTCTATGGTGATGTTGCTTCAGTAGTTCATAGTAGCTGGTGTCTTGGTTACTGTTCTCTTGTTGCTGGGACAATATACCTGACACCCAAAATGAAAGAAGGAAAGGTTTGTTTAGTTCACAGTCAATGGAGGTTTCAGTCTATACTCAGCTGGCTCCAAAGCAGAGTGGCACATGACAAAGGGCAGCAGTTTGTGGTGGCAAAGAGCAAGACAGCAAAAGAGTGGCAGCGGCTAGGCAGCTAGCTAGCCCTTCTCCCCTGCTTACATTGTAATACAGAGTATCTGCCCCAGGGCGCTCACACCCATAATCCCAGCTTTGGATCAAGAATCAGTCACAAATCATTCAGTCAAGAATCATTCAGAAACCACCCCAAGACTACATGACACTTTGGGGGGACACCTAGACACAAATCATAACAGGTGGCATTTACTAGGTATTTACCATGTGCCAAGCACTGAGCTAAACCCCTTGTCAACTTTATCTCACTTAGTGTCTCACAGTCAAGTTACTGTTTTACAGCCAGCCATTTCCCCATTTGATAATGAGAAAGCGAAGACCTGAAGAATAGTCAGTGGTCTGCAGACACACACTGGGAAAGTGATAAAGACAGGTTAATCTGAGTTCAGAATGTGTTCCTGAAACCAGCCTGGTTATGAGCACTGTGAAATCAATTGGTCTCTCTGGATAGTCCCTAAATTCGTATTATTCTGGAGAGAGGGGATATAGTATTAAAGCTTTCTGGAACATTTTGATTTGTTAAGACAAATTATTCATTTTTGGAAGTGTTTACAAAATGTATTGCAACTAGCAATATGTAATCTTTTCAGAAATTGACATATTGAGCCAGAAGTGCATGTTAATGCAGTTTTACAGAGAGCAACTTTCAGGTTCATTAGATGTTGGACTCGAGGGTCACATAAGCCTAACGATCTTGGGCAAGTTCTTGATTATATTTCTAAACCTAGCTCATAGATTTATGTAGATTAAGTGTAATATTTATATTTCACTTCATTTTTATTGATTGTGTGTTATTTGAGACTCTTAACTATCCGTACTGTTTTTTCAGGCCAACATTGTGGCCCTTGTGGCAGTTGCTGAGCATTCAGGAGAATTTGAAAAGATTATTCAACTTTCAGAAAGGTGCTACCTTTACTTAAATATTTAAAGGGGTGCTGGTGAGAACATGGTTGTGATGTTAGATTTATAATATCAGAGACCTATTTTAAAGAGAGTGAGGGGGAAAAGTCTATTAACATGGCCCTAAAAAGAGGTTATTTTGTGCTTGTTCGTTAGAATGACATCTGCTGGGGACTTGGCCTACTCCCTAGACTCCTAAAATGAGTTATGGTGAAGGCCTAAATAAAAAGAGACACGTGGTATGGTTTTGAGGGAGTCCAGGAAGGTGAAAGCTCTCTGGGAGCGGGGGCCTGCCCATCAGCTCAGTTGTTTGTCTGCTAAACAAAGCACTCAGGCTCAGGATGCCGTGGTTCCACTCAGGCTCAGGATGCTGTGGTTCGATCCCCAGATCCTCATGCCTTACCGGGCCTACCTTAAGGCATGATGAGCCAGCCCCCGCCCGAAAAAAATCCTTCTGAACTTTTGGGGCCGGGGAGATGGCTCAGTGGGATAAGCGCTTCCCTGGCAAGTGCAAGGGTCTGAGTTCAATCCCCGGTTCTGCCAAAAAAAAAAAACAAAAACAAAAACCCAAAGCTCTCTAGGAGTAGAGATAAGGACTCTGTATCATTATATTTATTAGGTTTTCATAGATTTTGCGGTGCTGGAAGAGGAGGGCACATTAGAGGCAAAAGCCTGTGAAAATGGCTAGTCTTGAGAAGCCAAGGCAGCAAGTTTTGCCAATTAAGAGAACTGTTTGATCTCTGCGGCTGCCACTTTTATTGCTGTGGAATAGGGAGTATCCATAGCCCTTCTCCCAGGCTTCCTCAGCCAGCGCTGGTGTTGGCTTCAGAGCACTGGGAATGTGAGCTTTTCCAATACAGGTCCAGGAAAAAAAAAAAATACAGGTCCAGGACCCTTCATGGTTAGCAGTTTAACCCTTACATAGCCTGGTTTCCAACGGACATCATAGTTTCCTAGTCTACATTATCCTCTTAATTTTTCTCTCCATTTTTAGGTACAGTGGGTTCATTTTGCCCTGCTTAGGTGTTCATCCAGTGCAAGGGCTTTCACTGGAAGACCAAAGAAATGTCACCTTAAAGGTAACAGTCACATAAACACAAACCCATAAAAGATGATACTTTTGGCCTAATACTCCTCTTTCTAATTTATTTTTATTTTTATTTTTATTTTTTTTGTGGAACTGGGGATCAAACTCAGGCCCTTGCACTTGCCAGGGAAGCGCTTATTCCACTGAGCCATCTCCCCAGCCCCTCCTCTTTCTAATTTATAATCTAAGAAATCACCCAAAAGAAATACTACTGTCTTTTACAATATGTTCATTGTAACATTATCTGTAATAGAGAAAAATAGAAATAGCCCAGGGCTTCAGAGATGAAGGAATTACTCACTAACTTGTAGTGTTAAATATGCATTTATAGAAAATGTGTATCAGGCCAGGTGTGGTGGCGCATGCCTGTAATCCCAGCACTTGGGAGGCTGAAGCAGGAGGATTGTTGCAAGTTCAGGACCAGCCTAGACTACAAAGTGAGCTCAAGGCCAGCCTGAATTGCATAGTGAGACCCTGCTTCAGAGAAGAGGACAGGAGAAGAGGGGAGGGGAGGGGAAGGAAGAGAAGAAAAAATATGGGTTTTTTCCCATAATTTTGTTGATAAACAAATAGCGATGAAACAGTTTCAAACCAAATTGGTAGGACACTTTCAATAATTAACACATTACATGCATTCTTCCTAGTGGTTAATTGCTGTACAAGATGTGGACATGATATTCTATTTACAAACACTATTAGAACAAATCCCTCTATTCATTAAGAGAATGTAACTATATATCTATCCTAACCATTTTGAATACACAGATACAAAATGGACATTCATCTGTATCCCCTTTTTTGTTTAGTTCCGTTATTTGAATGTTACAGGTGTGTTAACTCAGCAAAATATTCTAAAAGAGTCCAGAAGTCCATAATGGTATTGGGTCTTCCGCTTGACTGGCAATGTCAGAAATTGTTGACCTGAGTCCCCTACAGCTCAACAAAACACCATGGCTTTACTTCTTATACTTCATTTTTATACTTTTCTGCTGGATGGTTAAGACCAAGATAAAGCAAGACCTATGCAACAAGAGTTGTAGCTTTTGGATCTGATAACCTCAGTGAAATCTGCTCAGGATTTATCCTGAGATCCTGTACCTCAGATTGTAGATCCTTTGTCAGTGTCAGCCATGTGGATGAGTCACGGCCATTGCTTGGAAAAATATGTTTATTGTAATAGGTCTCCAATATTTTGGGGTTTTTTTGCGGAGCTGGGAATTGAACTCAGGCCCTTGCGCTTGCCAGGCAAGTGCTTATTCTACTGAGCTATCTCCCCAGCCCTATTTATCATAATAGGGATAAAAGCAGGATACAAGTTTATGGAATATTAGTAACACACATGTAAAAACATAGTTTATAAAGGAAAAGACTAGAAAGAAAACACAGAAATGATGCTAAATGGGCTGGGGAGATAGCTCAACAGTCTAAGCACCTGTCTGGCAAGCACAAGGATCTGGGTTCTATTCCTAGTACTACATGCTGCGCCAGCCACTGAAACCAGGTGTGGTGGCACAGGCCTGTAATCCCAGTGCTAGGGAGGCTGAGACAGGAGGATCACTTTGTGTCTGAGCTGCGTAGGGAGATGCTATACCAAATCAATCAATAAATAATTTTTTAAAAAATGATGGTGATTATAATGATTTGGTGGAATTGTAAGTGGCTTTTTCCACAATTTTTAATCCTGTGGTCATACTACTTTTGCAAAAAAAAAAAAAAAAAAAGAAAAGAAAAGGAAGAGAAAGCTACGGATTCACAGGTGCTCTGCAAGGGAACAGGAGGTGGGTTCAAGGCAGTGGGCTCTTCTCTGAAGGTTGAGGCGTCCCGGAGGAGTACTCTTTCTGTACTAAATTATTCTGCAATCATGCCCTCTGCAAACACACCTCCCGCGGGGTCTCAGTGACTCACAGCCATTAATGTGGCTTGGGTTTCCCACTCATCTCCAAACTTAGCACCACCAGGACCTCAACTTCATGGCTACTTTATTACACAGAGGGATGGGAATCCATAGTCCCATTCCAAAGGTGCAACTACTGTCTGTTACTTGTGAACAGGTTAGCATGCAGGCCATTATATTTCATGGTGATACATTTCTCTCCTCTCCTGAAGAGACCCAGCACTGTTCTGCATCTGTGTTTTGGCTCTAGGGGTTGAATCCAGGGCCTTCTCACTGAGCCACGTCCCCAGCCCTTTCATATTCTTTGTTCTAATAGACGGTCTCACTAGTTGCTAAATTGCCCAGGCTGGGCTTGAATCTGCAGTCCTGCATCAGCTTCCCAGAATGCTGGAATTACAGGCATACCTCACATCTGGCTAGTTCTGCTTATTTCAAAACTAAGTTGTAATCACTTTGGAAAAAGGCATATTCTATTGTTCTCCTGAGCTGTGGAGTGTGATGCAATTAACTGTATTGCCAGAGTCACAATTCCCAAAATATTGAGGGTCAGCAGGAGCACACTGTGTCTACTGCAGTACCTGTACTGTTTAGAAGTTTATGCCATAGGCATTCATTCATTATTTTTAATTTTTCTTTTTATTTATTTATTGGATACAGGGTCCCATTACATAGTTCAAACTCATAGTGATCCTCCTATGTCAACCTCCCCAGCACTGGGATTAGAGGCCTGTGCCACCAGGCCTAGGGTTCTGGGACTGGCACAGCGTGTGGTATTGGGGATTGAACTCGGGTCTTTGCACTTGCCAGGCAGGTGCTTAGACCACTGAGCTATCTCTTAAGCCAGGCATTCATTATTTAGACAGCTAGTGTTTACTGAGCAGCCAGCCACTGCTCGCAGCACTGGAGAGAGAGAGCTGTCTCTTAGAAGCACGAATCCAGATAGCCTGAACTTACACAAAAAGGAAGACTTCAGATAGAGTTATTAGGATGCTGGGTCCTATCATCATGAGGTCCTAATGTTGTCAAGAACTGGCCACATACCTTGCTTCTTTGTGTCTGATGAAAGATCTTAAATAAAGACGTATAGACCAGGGCCAGGGATGTAGCCCAGTGGAACAAGTGCCTTCTTGGCAAGCGCAAGGTCCTGAGTTCAATCCCTGGTACAAAAAAAAAAAAAAGGTAGACCATCATATAGAGGGTAGGTAGAGTTTATTGCACAATGATAGATTTTTCAGAGAGCAAAAAGGATGTACCTTCAAGCATAAAGGTAGGCAGATGCCAAAATGGCAATTGCACTGACTTGAGTATTCAGAATAGTTATGAAGTCAGTCTTTTAAGGAATGTCCTTTCCCTCTTAGAGATCATCATTCCTGTGCAGCTAAAATGGGTCATATTGACCTACTCTAAAGAGAAGGTCTGTGTGTACCCCCGAGATGGATGTTCCCCTTTAGTTGTTTTTTTTGGTTTTTGGGGGGGTTTTTTGTGGAACTGGGGATTGAACTCAGGGCCTTGCACTTGCCAGGGAAGAGCTTATTCCACTGAGCCATCTCCCCAGCCCAAGGTTTGTTTGTTTTTTTGTTTTTGTTTTTCCTTTGTTTTGAAGCCTTCAGATTTTTCTAACCCTTTGCCCATGGTCTGGACTTTGCAGGGCAGTGGACTTTATCAGAACACTTGCAGGAAGTTACATTCTCTTAAGATAAAGTTTGAAACCACAAACTTGCATGGATTTTATCTACAGCTAATAATTAGAAAGCTAAGGAGAAAGAGAGAGAGAGAGAGAGAGAGAGAGAGAGAGAGACAGAGAGACAGAGAGAGAGAGAGAGA